CAAGAAAAAAATGCTCATACTTTTATATCTTCAAGAAAATTTTCAGCAAAAGAAAAGTACTTTTTCAAGAAACAGAAATAATGAAAAATATTTCTTGCGATTTTTCATGGGAGCTGCAAATAGCCCTTTTGATAAAATATTTATTTTTTTCAGGCTAGGAATACCAAATATAAAAGTTAAAAAAAAAAATCGTATAAGTAGAATAACTCTTTGGGAAATAAATATCGTCTACTCGGTCCTGAGAGGGTTAGGGTCAATTTTATTTCCAAAGACCAAATGATCTTTGGAGAACCCTTTATTTGAAGCGTCATTAATAGGAGACATTACTGGCTAAATATTTCATTATAGTTTTCATTTGCATTTTCACCTAATATACCCTAATTTTGTAACAGTGAGGGTAGTCACAGTCCAGTGTATACGTTGTTGTATTTGCATATTTCGAAGCATTTCCAAATTCACATTAATAAAATGCGAATGGTTGCAATGGTAGAAACCACAAAATTAAAAAAAAACGTACTGTATTTACCCTTAGTATGTCTGAGTAAATGCTTAGTTTTTCTAAAATAACTGCACGACTGGCATACGTTAGCGGCTTCCGAAGATCTTACAGTCTTCAATAAGAAAAGTGCTGCTTAGGATGTTGTAAACGACGAAGGGCGACAAAATTCCTTTAAATCAAAGTAGAGGTGGTGGATGGAGCGGACTGTTCGATAACTGGGCCAAAAGGAACGTATTAGGAGTCAATCCAAAAAAGGCCGACCTGGTACTTCTTACCAGAAAGTACAAGGTCCTCAAGCTAAAAACACCTGTGTTACCAAACAGGGCGCTTAATCTTAGTGAATCTGCAAGGTATCTGGATATAATCCTCGATAAAAACTGAACTGTATGAAAAAGTACTCAGGAAAGGATGCACAAGGCCACAATAGCCATATACAGCTGCAGATAGGCTACTGATCAAAAGTGAGGTATGCCCGCTAATCTAGTAAACTGACTGTATAATGTAGTAGCCAGACCTATACTTCTCTACGGCGTAGTCGTTTGGGGGCCAATCCTATATAAAAACAGAAGGTACAAAGAACGGCACTAGTCTTTATAAGTGGTGTCCTAAGTCTGCGGAAACTTACTAGCTGGAAAGCATAGGGAAACGGTCGTACAACCATTCTCAGTAACCAAAACTTTAAAGAACTAAACGGACTACAGCGTAACTACGCTCACTTTTAATAAAAGATATCACACTGGCATACCGTGGCATGAAACTTCTATTCGGTTCACACTGACCAACGAGTAGGCCAACGAGTATAGTCTGAACAACTAGTACTGGAGTCCTTACGCCTTCCGTACCATTGCAGTGTATTTTAGGCCAAGCCGCTAGATACAAGCAGCAGCTGACAGTCTATGTCATATAGCGATCACCATAAATATATATGTATATATACATATGTACATATATTTATTGATAAGCACTCAGATAGTCCAGCAGCTATCAGGGCACTTGATTCCGTCACTATAAATTCGAACACGGTGGCAAGAAGAAGTACTTCCGCAACACTTTTACCGGCATGGAGGCGGTCCACAATTACGAAATTTTACCTAAACGAACTACGTACAAGGCAGCTGCTCAGATAAGCTGACTCCACAAAGTGCTCCAAAGAGAAGTAGGAGTTTTTTCGTGATGATCAAAAAATGATTCTCAGTAATTTCTTTATCATGATGCGATAACTGTATCTCCCGTAGAATCCATTTAATAGAACTTCGCTTTAAGCGACGTAATTTATAAAAAAAATTGTCCGGTTAGAATGACGAAAGTCTTAAAAATTCACAGAAAATTAAAAGCTTCGCACAACATGTTGTTACATGTTATGCAGTGACTAAACATCGAAGGCGCATATGGCGACATTTGCCTTTTTCATTCAAATTTTTTTTCGAGAGAATTATACAAAAAAAAAAATTAAAAAGAGCAAAATATGTCATTACTTTCAACAGTTTGGCATAGTTTGACAATTAAAAAATATATTTTTTGTAATCTCTGTGTTTGACATTTTTACAACATTTGACATTTTTATGACATTTAACATAAATTGTAATATAAGGAAACTTTGTAATAAATAGAAAATTTTCTAATTTAATAACATTTAACATTTTGACATATTTTCACTATTTCTAATAATTACACCAAAGGCACATTCAACACATTTAATATGCCTTGATCAGACCCTTTAACTAATTTGAGATGACAAATATGACAAATTTATTTTCTCAATTTAAAAACTTTTTGAAAATATTTTGACAAAATTTTACAGAAATTGACGATACTTGAGGTATTTTCACTANCCTAATTTGAGATGACAAATATGACAAATTTATTTTCTCAATTTAAAAACTTTTTGAAAATATTTTGAAAAATTTTGACAAAATTTTACAGAAATTGACGATACTTGAGGTATTTTCACTAAATTTACCGATTTATGGATTTTTAGCAAAATAAACCAATTTAAAAAATTAAGCAGGGAACGATAACAAACGTTAAGTTTGTATACCCGAGCGCTCTTGAGTACAAGGGTATAATAACTTTGTTCGCATAACGGTTGTTTGTAAACGACCAAAACTAATCGAGATAGATATAGACAAATGTAAATATAAATGATCAGATTGAAAAAAGAAATCGATTAGGTTGTGACTGTCTGTCCGTCCGTCCGTCTGTGCACACGACAACTGGATTAAAAATTGAGATATCTTAACGAAACTTAGTACGTGTACTTATTTTTAGCGTAGGACGGATGGTATTGAAAATGGGCANTTGAAAAAAGAAATCGACTAGGTTGTGACTGTCTGTCCGTCCGTCCGTCTGTGCACACGACAACTGGATTAAAAATTGAGATATCTTAACGAAACTTAGTACGTGTACTTATTTTTAGCGTAGGACGGATGGTATTGAAAATGGGCTACATTGGACAATAACCCCGCCTATCTCCCGTATAACGGTAATTTTCAGAAATACGAAACCTTCGATAAATCAGTAAATACTGAAGCTAATTTATACAAAATTGATGTTTGCAATAATTCTTCGGCAAACAATACGGTTATGGTCAAATTTTGGAAAATGGATGTGGCCCCGCCCACTTATGACCACATATGTGTATCTCGGTAACCGTTCTATCCATTTATACCAAACTCGGTATGGCTATTGTGCTTGCCACACAAAAGCAAAAACGCTGAAAATTATTGAAACCGGATTAAAATTACGCCAAATTTTCCTATAACGGTAAACTTCAGAAGTGCTTAAAACTTCGATACATCTAAATTTAAGGACGCCAATTTTCTCAAAATTTGTACTATTACATTATTATGGAATTTTTGGAAAATGGGCAATTTTATCTTAATATAGAAATTGATAAAAATATTAAAAAAAATACGATTAAATTTCATCGGAAAAGTAGAAATCCAGTTTTAACGTTTGAGTTATGATTTGTATTTCAAAGGCCNATATCTTAATATAGAAATTGATAAAAATATTAAAAAAATACGATTAAATTTCATCGGAAGAGTAGAAATCCAGTTTTAACGTTTGAGTTATGATTTGTATTTCAAAGGCCAAACATAACCTCTACGGTCCCAGAAATTAAGAACATATTGAAAGTCATTTTTCGGGTTTTGTGAATTATACAAAAGGTTTATGTGAAATATTTGTCTTTTGAGACTAAATCTTCAAAACACATGCTTGAGGAGCTATTTTCAGAATTTTCTAAATTTGTCTTCTTTTTCGAAGCCTTTTCCAACTCAAGAAAATACATATATTTACTGTAAAATAAATGCAAGAGCATATTTACGAACGCTCCGCATTTCTGACAAGCATTCTCCTTTTTTACGTATCTATGTACATACCTAATATCCCTTCCTCTTCACTCACATTACTGAAGTATTTGTTCGCGCAATTTCCTATAGCCGTCAGCAGCCCACTCGCCATTTACTTCCTTGTAGTCGTTCACGCACACAACACAAGCGCGCGCCTAATGATATGCAACAAACTATATAAGCCTTCCGGATTCTATTCAAGTTCATCATTTACGCAAAGTAAGCGAAGTATTACAGAACAAATCAGAGCAATTTACCGAGAAGAGCAAAACGAATAAGTGAATAACGAAATCAAAAATCAGGAATCAGAAATCAGAAATCAGAAATCAGAAATCATAACAAAATAAAAGTTCAATAACAAACGCCCGGAAACTGTTGGATTTCGTGCAAAAATTGCATAAATTTGCAACAAAAAAGCAATTTGCCGCCCATTCAACGGTTTATACGCCACAGCTGTCAGCAATTTTGCGCACAGAACAAAAACAAACAACCCAAGTAAGCGCGCAAAAAGTTCCAGCTTACAAAACGCGAAAGCATTAAACGTCCAACACCTGAGGCGCTAATGATGTTCGGGCCACAACAGAGGCGCAGCAGCAACAACAACTATAGCTGCAGAAACAAAACGCTGAATTTGCAATTGGCAACTCGTCTGCTGCTGTGTATGCAGCTGTCGCTTTGCTGCTGGCCACTGCTATGGCAAACAGTCGACGCTGCTGAACTGCCAGCCGAATTGATGTTGGAAGGTGTCAGTTTATTAAAATCGATGGAATATGCACAGGAAAGGCAACTTCAGCAGCAGCAGCAGCAGCAGCAACAAAAACAACAACAAAACCACTACCATCAAAAACCACATTTCCTACACTCACAGCTGAAACGTTTTGCTTTCGACCCAAACACCGCTGCCGCCACCGCCACCGCCACTGCCGCTGGTGCGGATGCCGACATTGATGGCATGCCAGCACCGGCAATGTCACCAGGCGACATAGCGCGCTTCGAACGTGAACTCTTTCTGCAAAGCGCCATTGATGATGTACCAATGAACGACGAAATGGAACTGCCACCATTGGAGGCCGACAGCATGGAGCATGCAGATTTAATGGAGCGTGCAATCGATTACAANACTGGTGCGGATGCCGACATTGATGGCATGCCAGCACCGGCTATGTCACCAGGCGACATAGCGCGCTTCGAACGTGAACTCTTTCTGCAAAGCGCCATTGATGATGTACCACTGAACGACGAAATGGAACTGCCACCATTGGATGCCGACAGCATGGAGCATGCAGATTTAATGGAGCGTGCAATCGATTACAAGCAACAGCAACCGTCGCCGTCCTCTATGTGGTTGCAACAGCCACATAACAGCGGCAAGGGTGGCGATAGTAAAATGGCCAGTAGCACTTTTTTGAAAATGCATCAACCCATCAACCAGCAAAAACAACACCAGAAGCATCATTTGAGCGGCGATATTGCCGCCAACGCCAATTCGGACACACTTGTGCCTCCACCTCCGCCTTTGCCGGTCGCTGAACCACAGCGTCACTGCGCCATCGAAATATCAACAAAGCTGACAGGTGTTTGCCAAGCAATGGCACCCATTGGCTCGGCTTGTGTGGCTGGTGATTACATGGACGTCTACAATCAGGATTGCTTGTAAAGTGCCAGGCGAGTGCAGGCCATGAAATGGATAGCTGATTTGAGTTTTTTCTTTTTCTATTCATTAAATTGTGAACTTGCGTTTGGTATCTTTTGACCATGTAAGCTGCCTTTCAAAATTTTAAAAATAAAGTCTACTACTCGGCTCAGTTATCGGAATTTAAAAAGTTTTTGTAAACAACTTTTGGAATATTTTACGGCTGATATTTGCAGGGGTGAAGATGCAACGGGTAGATGTTGTTGGCCTGCGGTAACGATGTTTTACCTTGTAGTTGTAGCGGCGTACTTAGACCTGCCCAGATCGGATAGTGCTTCTATTATCTGCCATCAAGGCCAACGGGTCGAATTTGAGGAAGTGGGGTGTCAGTTGAGTTGGCTTGAGTGGACATGCGAAGACGTGGGTTGGTGACGTGGGCGGAGTCTCCAGATGCTGGACCTTCGTTTGGTATGTTCCGGTTGAGTTGGGAAAGGTAAAAGTTCTGACAGCTACAATATCTATACCATTGTTGAGCCAGAGTTGCGCGAGTCTCTCTGGGATACCTAGATGGAGGTTATGTCTTGATTAAGTGTCTGTTCGGGTGCTCAGGTCTGTGGCACCCTACAAGGCACTGAATGCTGAACATGATGTTGAGCTCGCATACTGACAACATTGTGACTCACTATGTATGTATGTGGTATACTCTGTGGCTGTCCGGAGTGACTTTGTTGTGGCATGTCTGCACTGTGTCCCACTAGTCTCAGTTTTTGGTTATTCACTGTTGTGATTCATGTGTCGCCGACGTGAATACCGATCTGTAGCCTGAGCTCGTTCGTCCAGGTGTTAAAAATTATTGCTAAAGATTTATTAGGAAAGAGGGCTAGGCTTGTTGCAGTAGATAAGCGAGAAAATTCGGAGAAGTAACCGTTTACTTGCCGGCCGTCTTGCTTGTCATTTATTCTTCAGCCACTAATGCAAAATCACCAATCAATGCCAATAAACCGAAATCGCGCCTTAAAGTCGGCAATATGCATCGCTCAAATTTAGATGAATCTATGTAGCTGAGTGATTGAAAATTGGAGTGCGCTCCGCAGCTGCATTGTTTTAAATTAATCCATCGGGAATTACCAGTAATTTATCGGGGAAACTAAGATGGAAAAACCGAAGTCTTTTCCGAAGAATATAACAATGATAATCGTCAGTTCTCTCTTGGAGAATATAACTTGGACTACATGGTGCAAATATTTCAGTTACGTGGTTGAAGTTTAAATGAGTGAGACTTTTGACCATTTCTAATACTAGTCAAACTAGGTGCCCATCGATCCGATACCATACATACATAGCTCATCAACTGTCGGCTACCGAAGCCACTGTCCGATAAATACTACTTAGATGAATATTTCCCTCAGCAAATACAGTGACAGCCAAGCTGCGAGAGTAACTATCTGCTTAGGTGAATGTTTCACTCAGCAAAGACGTGGAGGCATCAAAAAGTGGTGGATCTAAAGAAGGTTTTTCCAAATTCGGTTTGCTCTCAAGATCTAGCTAATTTGCGTTCGAACGATATTCAACTTTTGTGAGTAATGGTGGGTGGGGGGAAGGTGTAATTTCTCTGCTGAATAAGATCGAATAGGGCAATTTTTGTTTTTGTGCAAGGATAGGGTTAAATAAGGATCACAGGACCTCACTTAGATTAACTGCTGGTTGGTTGTACTAATTCTTTGGTTCGCAGTATCCTTCAGTGAGAAGAATTACGCAAATCTGGCCGCACAATGGCAAAGCAGATGTTCAAATGTGCCTTTAGTGTTTCCCTTGTCACATGCCGTACATTTATCGCTTTTTACTAGTCCTAACTTAGCTGCGTAAGATGGTGTGTCGCGTAGGTACAACAGAGCTACTGGCGGGTGTTCTAAATGGACATTGCCTGCTAGCATCTCACGCCTATAAACTGCCTCCAACTAACGATAAGATCTGTAGAAGATGCAAAACGCAGGAGGAGACAGTGGAGCATATCGTCTGCGAACGTCCGGCCCTTAACAGATTGTCTACTGTGAGTAGGTTTTCTACCAAGTTGTTCCAGTTTGCC